TGCGGCAGACGGTCCGCAGCCATGGCGTCCTGGGCCTGTACCGCGGCCTCAGTTCCCTGCTCTACGGCTCCATCCCCAAGGCCGCCGTCAGGTGAGGCCCGGCCCCAGGCAGCCACGGGTGGGGGGCCCGGCGGCGGCGGTCCCTCTCACCCGCTTCCCGCCTTCAGGTTCGGAATGTTCGAGTTCCTCAGCAACCACATGCGAGACGCTCAGGGACGACTGGACAGCACGCGCGGGCTACTGTGCGGCCTGGGTGCCGGCGTGGCTGAAGCCGTGGTGGTCGTGTGCCCCATGGAGACCATCAAGGTGGGGAAGGAACCCGGGCTTGCCGGGGCTGAGGAAGGCCGCTGGCATGGCCCTGTGCTCCTCGGGAGGCCATTGAGCCGGGGAAGGTCTTGAGCAGGAGCTACAGGGCTGCCAGCAGGAGGCCTAGCAAGAAGTGCCTCCGGTGGAGGCTGACTCTACCCTGAAGGCAATAGGAAGACAAGATTAAGGTCTTTGAAAAATACTTAATAAACGGAAAGCATAAAATGACACATTTGCTGCCAAAACTGTGGGAAATAACAAACATGGGGTGGAGACTCCCGGGACCTGATCTGTGTTGTGCTCAAGGGTGGTCTTGGCATTGCTTCCAGATGAAAACCTGAACCTTCAGCCAGGCTCTGCCTGGGTGGGCTTTGGGCCTGCGAGCCAAGGGGGCTGAGTGTGCTTTTCAGGTGGTAGCCCAGGAGCCAGCGCCCTTGCTTTCCTCTCTCAGGTGAAGTTCATCCACGACCAGACCTCCTCTAACCCCAAGTACAGAGGATTCTTCCACGGGGTCAGGGAGATTGTGCGGGAACAAGGTGAGCCACTTGATCTTCCTCTTCAGGGCAGGGACCTGGGCCAGGCAGGAGAGGGCCTGCACTTCCCCTTCCTGCCTTGGCGCTCTATGGGGCACTCCCATCCCCAGCCGGGGCCTGGGAGGCACCAGAGTGACCCATGCCTGCCTGCCCCCAGGGCTGAAGGGGACGTACCAGGGCCTCACGGCCACTGTGCTGAAGCAGGGCTCGAACCAGGCCATTCGATTCTTCGTCATGACCTCTCTGCGCAACTGGTACCGAGGTGTGTTTGTCCCAGACCCAGCCTCCACAGGCGGCTTGCTGGGCTTCTTTCCTGGGGGCTCTCTGGGGAGTGGACACCTAACCTTCTTGGGACCTGGTCCAGGCCTTCCAGCTACCCTCTGACCACAACTCCTATCCTTGTCCAGGAGACAACCCCAATAAGCCCATGAATCCACTGATCACCGGGGTCTTCGGTGCGATTGCTGGTGCAGCCAGTGTCTTCGGGAACACTCCTCTGGATGTAATCAAGACCCGGATGCAGGTGGGTGTGGGACTGGCAAGGGGGGAAGGAGCTCAGGATAGGATTGGCTGCTGAGGCTCTGGCCTGCTGGTATCCCACAGGGTCTGGAGGCACACAAATACCGGAACACATGGGACTGTGGCTTGCAGATCCTGAGAAATGAAGGACTCAAGGCGTGAGTAGGGAAGGGGTAGGGCTGTTGTCCCCACTTCAGACCCTTCCTGGCCTTTCTAGCCCACCCTAGGCTGTCTCCTTTAGGTCTCTGGTTTCCCTGCAGCACTGGGGGGGGCGGCCTTGAGAGACACTGCCCTTACCTGCCTACTTTACCTTGTGCCCCTCCCTCCACCCAGATTCTACAAAGGGACTGTCCCCCGCCTGGGCCGGGTCTGCCTGGATGTGGCTATCGTATTTATCATCTACGATGAGGTGGTGAAGCTGCTCAACAAAGTGTGGAAGACGGACTAAATCGAGGTGGTGCACACGGGTAGTCCCAGCACCATTGTCTCACATGATTCCAGTGCAGTAGTGCCAAAAGACCCCTTCCCATGCCCTCAAGCTATGTGGCCTAGTCTGTCCATTGTAGCCCTCAAGTCCAGGTATCCCGTAGTGCTGTGTCTCCTCTGTGGACACCACTGTTGTGTCCACATGTCCAACCCAGCCACGCTGGGTGTCCCTCTGGCCTATGAACCTGTGTCTGCTTGTCCTTGTGCTTACTCATGAGCCCTGTGCCTGTTTCATGTTCTGTGTCATGTGACCCTGTGCCCCGCTGCCCAAGGTGCCTGTGTGGCCTGGGTCCATGGCCCTGTAGCCTGGCGCAGTCCCAATCCGGTGCCTTCCACCCTGCCCTGGCCTACCACAGCTGCCTCCGGGCCTCGGCCTGGCTTCACCGCATTCCAGGGGCTGCATGCCCCCCGCTTCTCCCGCCACTGGCCTTAACTGGCCCTCGGGCCCTCCCTCCACCCGGGACAGGGTGGCACCCGCCACTCTCAGGACCACCCTGCCAAGGCAGAATAAACCGGATCCTGTCACAGCCACCTGCCCCCGTGTCCATCCCTGGGCCTGTCTTTGGGCGGGCAGTGATGGCTGTGCCTCCAAAGGGGTCCAGCTCACTCCTCACCTGAGAACACTGCCACAGGGGAGTGCCACAGACACTGGACAGGGAAGGTCCAGTGTCCACCCAGGGCAGGGCAGCTGTGACCACATTGTTGGCTCCCTGAGAGGCCCGACACTAGGAAGGATTTGGGCTACATCCAGGCCTTTCCCTGTGGCTTGGGGCAGGATCCTGCAGGCTCGGGTAAAGGGTGTGTCCACGAGGCCTCAGGGTGGCCTGGCAGACAGCACTGCATGGGCAGAGTAGAGGGGTGGGCCTGGGAGACAGTGCTCCCAAGATACCACCTGCCCCTCACAGGGTGAGGCCCTGGAAAGAAGGCCCTCCTCCTGTGAGTGCAGGGAGGAGGGCACAGGGAAGTACTCAGAAGCCTCAGGGCAAGTGTCCTGCCTCTGCTGTCCTGAGGCTCTGGGCAGGGAGGCTTTACCTCACTCCTTCAGTCAGGCTGGGAGGCAGCTCTCTGGGGACCTCTGAGTATTTCACACCAAGCCCTGAACCTCAGAGGAAGGTGTCCTTCTGGCTGGAGACCACAGAGCTTTGGGTTCCTCCTTCCACAGCCTATGAGCCACGTGGCAGACACTCGTGGGCAGGACAGGATCAACCAGTGCTGCTGGCTGTGCAGGGACAGAAGGCAGCTTCCTATCCAAGTGTCTCTGTAGGGAGAAAGTCATGCAAGCCTCTGGCTCAGGCTGGGGAATAACCTCTTGTCAGCTGGAAACTGTGTAGACAGGTCTAGACCTTGAGGCTGCTCCTGTGGGAGAACACCATGTCCCAGTGACCTCACGCAGCACGGGATCCCAATGCTGGAGGCATGGCCATGTACAGCAGGGAAGGCTTGGATGCAAGGAGTCCAAGGGGATCCGAGGGCAAGTGTGGGTTTGGGGTACAAAAGGAGCACAGTGTTGAAGGGGGAGGGCCTGGAGGAGGATTACCACTAAGGGCCTGTACCATGTGACCTGAGCTGGCCTTGCCAACTCTGTGCTCAGGGGAGACTTCCCAGTCTGGGGCCACAGGAGAAAGGCCTGCCCACCCGTCTCCATGCACACATACCAGGTGCCAGTGCTTAGAGCCCCAGGCCAAGAGGTTCCCCATTCGCCAAGCCCAGTCCATTGGCTCTAGACCTAAGAAGCTTTGCTGTGGATCCCCTGCTGTGGTAAGCAGGGGATGGGCAGCCTTGGTCTAAAGTGCCAGTTGCTGAGCCTTAAGGGACACTGGGCTCACTGAAGTCTGCTCTCCTGACCTTGGTATCTGTGGGCGGTGGGAGTGGTGGATGGGGCAGAGCATGAGGCTCAGAACCTTGACTTTCCCATTGCTATGTGATCTTGAGCAAGTCACCTAGCCTCAAATTCCTAGTCTGAGAAGTGGGGTGATAAGAACCCACCTCATCAGGTCATGAGGGTGAAATAATGTACTCCTTGTAGGATGGTCAGAACAATGCTTAGCGCAGAGTGAACTTTCAAATGCAGCAGCCTTTTCCTTGGGGTTGCAGGGGATGATTTGTACTCTCCCCAGGGTCCAGGCGGTTCCTGGAGCAGATATAAGCCCAGAGGATGCCCCATTCCCCCTCATACTGACCAGGGATGCCAGCCACTCGCTGACTGCATACCTGCAGCCAAGTCCTGTCTCTGGCCCCCTTCATGGGGAGGAAGGGGCTGAGACTACACTGGCTGAGAGCAGGGCATAGGGTGGCATAGATCTTCATCCTACCTGAGGCTCATCCCTAGGAGCACTCCAGCTCCCTGCCGTCCCCAAGGTCCCCTTGCCTGTGCCTGAGGCACAGGGTAGACATCAGATAGCATAGCCACTAATGTTGATTGAATGGGTCTGAGTCCCTTGGGGCCTCTATCCTGGAAGAGCCACCAGTCTTGATAGGACCCACACTGTAGGTGCTTCACACCTGAAGGGGTGTCTACAGGAAAGCGAACAGACTCTGGAGAGGCAGGCAGGGGCCTGGAGGGAGCCAAGTTGCATTTAATCAAGACCTCAAAGGCTGCAGAGAGGTGGATGGCAGGGAGTGGCACAGAGCAGGGGCACTGAAGCTGGAACCATTGTCTGCTCTTGAGGCAATGTGGGCAAAGGGGCAGAGAGATGGGCAGGCCTCCAAACCAGTCCAGAAGCAGAACAGGCTTGATTTCCAGCCTGGTGCTCCACCTCCCCCACCAACCAGGGCACATGGCCAGTGCCAGGGAGGGCCCTAGAAGGTGTGCATATCACAGGAGTGTGTGGAGACTCCAGGTCACCATGTCCCACCCACAACCAGAGCCACAGTGACAGCCTAATGACCCAGCCAGCCTCCACCATCTGGCATGGCAGGATCCTGGGACACTCAGACTGTGCCCAAGAGGGACAATGGCCTCAGAGATAAGGGAAAGGGAGCAGGAAGTGAGGTGGTGACATCCGGGGCAGGGCTTGGCCAACTTCTAGCCCTGACTTCACCTCTGTAGGGCTCAGGACGGGTATCCTAATGAGGCCTCCAAGCAGCTGCCCTCCACCACCCCTCCCCCAATTCTTGGAGGCTCCCTTTGCACACTGCTGCATAGCACCCCTGGATTTTTCATGTCCCTGTGTAGGTGATGAATGGCAATCAGATCTTAGTACCCAAAAAAGCAAGTCACTCCTGACAAATGGATCTGTCTCCTTTGAGTCAAAAACGAGAATTCTGTTTTGGGGGTTGTGTCCTCTGCTCTCACGGTAAACACAATCTTGGTTGAGGGTGCAAGTGTTTTCCTCAATTTTTATTCCGTATGTATTTTCACAGATTCCCTAGTCTTAGGTAAGGGGTATAAAATCAGGAGGTCTGAGGAACTCCTGGCCTCCTCAAAACCTGGGAACTGGGACGGGGCACACCAGAGACAGGCACAGAGACCTAGACCCAGGCACAGTGGAGAACTGGCCTAGAAGGGTAATGGGAGATCACAGAGAACGCCCAGGATCATATATAAACACGGTAAGGCTAACAATGTAAGTGACCCTGGGATGGCCCTGTAGCTCCCCTCCTCTCATGCTCACCTGGCAAATTTCCCTGAGAACTGCCTCCTCTATGCTCAGCCTGGGCCAGGCCCTGACCCCTGACCCTTCCCAGCAGTGTGATACACTGTTGTCACTTTTGTCTCCTCTGCCATGCCACACATACTCACCACCCACTTAATCCTCCATCGACTGGGCTTGACTTGATCTGGGAGCCTGTGAACTGGAAGGCCCCACTCGGCCACAGCAGTGTCATCTCCTGAAGTGACCTCAGGGGATACACTGTCTCACCCCTCTGCTCCCAAGCCCTGCTCAAACGCCTTAGCACCCAAGCCTGGGCGACAAGCGCGGCTCGAAGAGCTCCCGGGGCCCGGGGCAGATCCACGCGCTGACGCAGACCGCGCCAAGGCCGTCGACGCCCCCGGCTGGCCGCACTCCGGGGCCCCTCCCCCGCCGCTGCGGCCGGTGGCCCAGGCGAGTCAGCTCCCCTCGGTTCTCCAATACGCCCCTGAGGCTGTGACGGGGGGGGAGGCGGTAGGGGTAAGTTAGACGCCCGCTGTCGTGACCCGGAGCTTATACTGCGGGTCGGACCAGGCCGGGAAGGAAGGGCCGCGCCTGCCAGACCCGGAGGAGGGGCGCCTCGGCGAGGGGCGGGGCCGGCCTCCCGCAGCACCCAAACGCGGAGGTAGGGAGATAGGGCCCGCGGGCGCGGGCGGCGTCCTGGGGCTCGCTCCTGAAGGAGGAGTCGGACTGTCCCGGCCTCGGTGACGGGCGACCCAGGCAGAGACGGACAGCAGGCAGGTCCGCGTTCCGGGAGGGCCGACGTGATCGGAGGCATCGATGCTCGCGCCCGGAAGTCTGGGCGGCGCCCCCCGATGGCGTCACAAGGACGCGCCCGGCCCCCGGGGACGCGTCGCTGGGAACCCGGCTGCCTACGCTGCCCCCGCCTCGTTCTTCTGCTGAGGTTAATTGCGCTCCGTGGAGGTCCTTTGTGGCCACAGCCGCCATCCCCTGCTCGTCGGATTTCACTGGCGTCCCCCGCCCTTGCCCGCAGTCCCTCGACACTCAGCCGGCTCAGCCACCCTTGTCCACGCTTTCGAGTCTGACAGCGCCTCCTCTGACGACCGCTGTCCACTCCAGAGGCTGCCGAGGGCCATCTGACGAGCCAGCCTGAGGGGACACTCCCCCTCCCGCCCCACCCTCCCCTACCCGGAGATGCCCGACCGCTGCCGCCGGACGGCGCTCCCTCTCCCCGGACACCCCTTCTGCCCTCCACCTTTTCCCTGTAATCCTCACTGCTCTTCAGACCTTACCTGGCCAGTTGTGCAGGTAGGGGGCCTGTTCCCTTCCCCAGTGGCCCCCTCATCTGCTTGTCTTCCTGTGTCCTCAAACCCAAGCCCCTAGGGGGCAGAGCCTGGGCCTGGGCTCACCCCAGTGTCCCCTCCTTGGGTCCTGGTGTGGAGAATTATGGTCACTGCCTAAGGACTGTCTTTTCTTCCCCCTGTGTCTTTTTGCTCCAATGTCCCTGGTCCCAACCATGGGAAAGGAGATGGGTCTGGTGGATAGGTACCAAGGAGACTCCACTAGCCTCTCCTCTGCCACCCTTCCCCATCCTGCCTGCCTGGTCAGCTCCAGCCCAGCCACCTGTTGCCGCCTGTGGGCTCATGTTAGACACAGTGGCCTTGCCACATCCCTGTGGAGGAGGAGGTCGGGAGTAGGCACATCTCTCTGAGTTCTCCATTCTGGGGACCTGTCCGTAGCAACGCAGGAGGAGGAGTTGCAGTTGGGGTCTTGCTCCCACGGAAGGCAGCAGTGAGCACAGGCCACAGCACTGGACACTGCTCATCCTGGCTGAGCCCTTCCTTTTCTCAGCCAGCCACGTTTATCCGATGGGAAAACCCAGGCTGGGACAAAGGGCCTATCTGGGATCTGCAGAGACCCAGGTCTGCCTGCTGCC